TGCATAAACATTATGTGAGGCACCACAGCTTTGCTACAAGTTACTGACATATCATCTTTCCTTAGAATTTTCGATAACATGAACGATAACATGAAATAATGAGTCTGGACAAAGTACAACCAATGCGGCAGTCGTCATTTGCGGGGACCTCCCACCTGTCAAGGAAACAATCTTAGGGATATGAATTGCTTCCCATTGCAGACCATCTAGAGGAAATGGATATTCGCGAAATGAAAGCAAACTTAATGAAACCCGAAACGGCTGATTTATACTCTTAGTTGAAGGATTAATATAGCGCTGATCCAGCTTAGATAGTGAAGCGCATTACTGGCGCACATAAGCTCTATATTCTCTGCCGGACTCCGCTTGACTTGATCTACACGTTAGTCCAGAAAAACCGCACGGTACCATTCGATGAGAGATATCACAACTAAAATTCAGATTGAACGCGATGAATTAATGAGATGGGATGAAGTAACGCTTGACAGCTTAGCGTGACTGACTTGTTTAGAATTCCCGGCATTTCTAAAAGTATGTTTACATAAAATCCCTGAAATTACTCCAAACGTGGAAACCCCAAATTGACTTGATGTCAGGATAGGTGTTCTGGTAAGTCCGGGTTTCATGGGTTTTCCTGACAGGCCTTAGATGTTTCTAGAGGTAACTGGACTTTTGATGGAGTCACCGTAAAAGAGTTCTGTCAACGAATCTTAGTGTTCCTATGGAGAAACGTTAACAATTCGGGTGAGCCATCATAGTGACAATGCCAGGGCATGAGAAGGCTAGCCAGTCATGAGAAGGACATGAGAAGAAGAAGTGCATCTTCCAAACGTGAATGTTTACTTTGTACCCACTAAGTAACTTCATCCAGGCGACATAAGACATACTAGTTTGCAGTGACGTAAAGTATCTGGTGAATGCGTTGACCGTTTTGCAACAGTATACTTCAAGGATCCTGATTAAGTAGGGCAGCAGCTCCAAATGAAGTTAAACCCAAAGGGACTTCAATAGATGCGCAAAGCATTTGATAGCGTAAGAGCAATCATCTCTTCTACTAGGACGCACCCATGGAATAAAAAACGTTTGATATTCCCTGAGATATTTCCTTCCTGGGGAATGGTGCATCTGGATTGTCTTAACTCACCTGAATATCACTTAAAATGTGAATGGCACTCATTTTATTCACATCAGAATACTCCCGGCGGAATATCGAAAGGAAAAACAGGTGGATTTAAGGCTACAATCATCACACGCTAGTGGTTGGAATGCAACAAGTGAAGAGAAGTGTTCAATCGCAGTAGGGTTCAAGGGTGTGACGAAAATTAATTGTCACTTTTGTTTACTCATGAGTAAGCAGTAATAAACGTTTAGACGGGTTCGACGGTTAAACCAACGTAAGGAATGCGCGCCCGATATACCGGAGGAAGGCAAAATTCGTTCAAAGCACAAAAGCATTCCAATGTGGAGGTGCTAACCAGAGCATAGGAAGAATACCAACCCTATAACCAACGGAGAAATTTTGAAGGGAATGAGCTGATATACATCGCGCGCATGAATAACTGGTACGTTAGGTGCAGATGAATAGTTCTACCCACCATATATATTTTACTACTGAATCCTATTACAGTTGCGGCTGTCGGCTAATTTATTTGGCTCGCATGTAATCCGGTGCTGTCTAAAATTGCTAGAGCGAAGAAGTCAACTATCTTATGAACACTTCTTCAGCGTTCTTCACCAGTTCAAACCGAGTAAATCGGGAGCGCAGATACCTGTTTTTAGGGCTACCTCAAAACCGCAGGCCTAGCATATGATGTGAATCAAGCGTAAGCATTCTTACGGTGAAAATATTAAATTTGGTAAAACTGAATCAGGAAGTAGTTGCTTACACCAGATGTTACTAACCTGTGTACCCCATATGAGTCATGTAACAACCATATACTTATGTTAGGCATTACAACGGCACATTTGAGACAATAGACTTGGGCCAAAATTTTCCTGAACATAAGTATTCCGCAACTACCAGACAAATCAAATCGGCGTATCGGTGGAGCCCTAGTTGCAAATGCTGGACAACTTAATCGGGACTAGTTTCACGACCCGAGAAATATTTCTGTTCTTATTGAGGTTTCTAGGTAAGTTGATGCTGAAAAACTGANGTTACTAACCTGTGTACCCCATATGAGTCATGTAACAACCATATACTTATGTTAGGCATTACAACGGCACATTTGAGACAATAGACTTGGGCCAAAATTTTCCTGAACATAAGTATTCCGCAACACATGAGAAACGGGTGCGTAGGATGTAGTCAGTTACATTTAGTTTGCACATGGTTACTCTAATGTATTTTATATTAGAAATAAAGACAGGGATTAGACACATTTTTATTGGTGCACTGTGGCTAACCGTCCTGCATTTGGATCAGTGTTCGACCAGCAACATTTTCTGAGAAATGTAAACCCTGAGCATGGGGAACACAATTTCCCTCTGCAAACTGGAAGGCGCAGTTCCCGAATTCCCATCGAAATTGCATTCCGTTTAAACTCAAGATTCATTTACTTTGCGAACATGAAACATCTGCGCATCACTTTGGTCTATGAACCAGTTAAGTCAAACAACAGCTAACTGGTATGTCCCCTAATATGGCTGAAACACAAAGGAACCAAGACCGTAAGGTTTGCGGGGCTTCTGCTCTGGTCCAAGTGGACATGACCGTTCAGTTTACCAAAGACTCGATGTTACGAACTCATGAAAAATTTACCGTATTATTTATTATCATTGTTAGTATTATTTCACCATACTATTTCCTTCATGTATTTGATGTGCACATTCTCCATTCTTTGGAGGAGAATATATGTGTTAGTCACTGGTGTCCTTTCAGGTACCGCCGACTTTCTCTTTGTTGCAAAGTATTATCGCTTACGATGTCACAGTGAATTTCACTGAAGGCAACTACTCACTGAAGACCCTTCGACAACCCACTAATGGTTTTTCTGTTCTTGGTTCTTATCAGGTAGATGCAATCTACAAGTTTCCGTCAACCTTGCGCTTTATTTGAACACAAGTTGTATGCATCTATCAAAATACACTTATTTATTAGTTATATTGATGTAAAAGTGGGGGTCGATTTCATCAATGCTGGATCTCTTGTTTGTCTTATTTTTCAAATGAATGCTCCGCATAAAGGCAGTGTCATGTTTCAGTTCGTACTGTTCCAAAGCTAAATATAAGGTTCAAATGCGGCGCATTCAGTTAAAGAATAGTATAAGCGAAATATTCTACTAATTACTCTGTCAACAATAAGTCAATTTTCAAAAAAGCGTGTGCTGCTGCATACACCGATTTGGCTGTACAGGTAGGAACTAGGAGTGGTTAAGATTAGAGGAGTAGGGATCGATAGCTATTGAAGAGCTCCGGCAGGCAGCTGTCCAGAGTTCTTTACAGACTCTGAAAATAGTGCAAGACAAATTGTCTCGGTGACTACATAAAGCAGTGCGTGAACAAGAGTTCCACGATAACACGGCGTCAGTTGAGCAAATCTGAGTGAAGGAGAACTGTGGCAATGGAATGAATGCCTCGATTTCTTAAAGTCAAAAAATACGCTGCGACCAAGAGAAAGCCGGCGGTACCTGGAAGAACATCCGTAACTGACTCATACAGTCTCCTTCAAAGAATGAAGAATGTGCACTTCAAATATATGAAGTATATAGTGTGGTGAGATAATAATAATGGGAAACCACCAAGTTATTTCAAACCACACTACCGGTTGTATACCGCCATGTTCATTATCATCCTTATTGGCGGCATCACAGCAGTGATCAACACTATAACTTCGCTGCCGGACAAGCATGACTCATTTGAAAACCTAACTGAGATGAAAAGAATAAGAGTGGATAGGGACTTACTGCTTGCTAAATACATTCATTACGCACCTCTAGACACTCATTCAAGCACACTGGATAGAAACTGACAACAAGACCGCCACTGACTTGTATTAAAAGCCATATCTTGCAGCGCCTCCAACCAGGCGCAGTGGGATCACGCGGTGCCCGTCCTGGAAGAAAAGTCGCACCGACAGCATCCAGTCTATTTCATCCCCTTCTGTCAAGTAAAGGGTTGGTTACCTCTCTTCTTCCGTCACTCTGAACTGGGTGCGGGAAATAGTACTCGCTTCGGCAAACAATGGTTCGGCATATGCAATACACGGCCTAAGAAACGCAGCTTCTGGTGCTACATACATGCTTCGGTGGAAGTCATCGTTACACAACCGAAAACTCGCTTTTGTTACGAATTCTCCAACACCAACCTACACGAGCGATTGTCGAACATCTGAAGACGTCTCAGTTCCGCTGCTTGAACAAGCCAGGTCTCACGGCTATACAATCAGAACTAATACAACTTCCAAGGTACGTAAAATGCTCCAGAACTTCGAGTGCATCCTCCTGGATTGTAAGTGGCGTGCTCAGTCGAGAAGCATAAACTTACATTTTGTGGGTGCAAATTGCATACAAAAAGAGCGGGATGACGTTGGTCAGTTCATCCAAAAACACCTGAGAGCGATGACGTCTGCACATTCCAGATCGACAAGTTTTCCATCAGAGGCTACTTAAACGCCGAGATTTTTTGGAAGACCTTTCAGCGTTCGACTCATTTTCTCATCGAGCGCGAAATTAAATAGTAATGGGGGAGTGGTCACAACTAACGGACACTTATTGAAGGCTCTTCGTATACTGTCACACATACGAAAGTCTGAGAATACAAAGAACTTGTTATGCTCGGGAAATTCCGGGGCATCCATGATGGTCAAGCGTGTCAAGTAGAGCAGACCGGCCAGTCGAGGTGAATGCACCTTGGAACTACAGGATTATTAAAATTGTGGGTGTGAAGATTTGGTCAACGCAGCCCGTACCAGACCAGAATACCGCTTGCTGCTCCTGTGTCGGTGTTTCACCAGCCATCACAAGGCGGTGAAGCACAATTGACGCCAACAGCCTGGTTACGACCGGCGTCTGACTGATACCCCTGTGGTGACCTCACTCAACACGAGGTTTTTTTCGAATGGGCACTGTGACCGCTGTCCCAAGTTGTCTGACACAGTTTCCTTTTCCCAAATGCGAGCAAAGATATCGGACAAGCGCTGACTGAGGAATGCACCTCCATCTTTGAACAATGAGGCTGGGAGGTCATCCTGACCCGATGCTCGGTGGTGCTCGAGAGAAAATATACAGTCATAGACCTCCAGGGTCATAGGAGGTTCCATATTCACCATCCGGAGTTCTGCGTCAGCTGTATGCTCCAGATGAAAGCAGCTGGTGGCCACGATAACTATTGTTCGATGTATTTGGCCCAATGCGCTCACAGGTTTTTTCCTGGGACCGGCCACACAGATCAAATGAAATGATCTTCAGCCATTCCCTAATTTCTGGGTCTCCTTCATTTCTTTGGCTTTTCGATTCCACCATGCTTCACGGTGGGCGCGAACCCACACTTTCACTTTATTTGATAGTTCGTCGGGACAAGTTATGTTCGAGACTAGCGAGGGCACTCCTCCGAGATTTAGGCAGTGCCGCTGTTTGGTATGATATCCAGTGCTTGAGTGGGACATCGGGACTAAAAATGGATGAGGCTAAATAATTCAGGCTCTACCAAGAGGAGTGGTCTATGTTTAGAGCCAGAGTGTTAGATATGCGCATGCGCATCACTTAACATTGTATTCCTGTCGCCTTATTGTTTCATACCAACCACCGGTTATTCTATTTGTCACCAAGTTGACTGCTGATTATTCATTAGCCAGAGCGCTTTCGTGCTCATAATCAATTGTAATCCCGATGCGGTAGAACTGGGGTGTACACCCGTGGTTCTGTATCCCGATAACGGGTTAGGTTCAAACATCTCACGATAAATTAAGCAATGCAAGTAGAATCGGCATACAGTATCATGTTGTTTGGATGAAACTAGGCAGTTTTGGTGAAGAAAGTGCCGTTGTCTCGCCTGGTCGTCTCCGGTGATATGAGCAGCTACAAAACCTTTTCACGATTTTTGTCATATCAATACTAATCGGCCAAAATGAGCAGCCATAGCGGTGATTGACTGGATCCTGATCTGTTTCTGTATTGCTCGTGCACTCAGGTTGCGCCAACCTTCAGTATGCTCACGAACAGTATGTTGCGTTCCAACTAAAATTCCCACCCATTTTTCAGTGACAGCTTAGCAAGACACCAAAATGGCCTTTAATTTTCTCCAAGCAGCACTACCCACAAGGTCGCTGAAATCTCTTTGACAGTTCACAGCTGGTTTAGTCCTTCTTGGAGCTCATCAAGTGCAGTTCCGATTCTCCGTCAAGCTGAAATTTCGCTCGAACACAAATAACACGAAAATCCGAGAACCCCATTCATGTGAACAATAATTTGGTTTTAACGTCATAAGTAGTATTCCTTCAAGAAAGTATACTGCGATGTCTCAAGTATCGTACCAACTAATGCATGAGGTGACCTTTCGGCTACAGAACCTTTAGATTTGTTTCCAAATACTTCCTAATCTCGTTAGGCTGTACAATTCCCATAGGTCCGATGTGAAATTATTAAAACTATAAGTTACTAAAACTATATAGAGTTCTTTGTATGGCTATCAGGATAATTTCGCAGAATTAATCAAAATGAAGAAACGACAGTTCCATCACAGCAACCGTTTTGCCTACAGGGCTACATGTCGTGCTGGTGAGCGAACGCTCTTCACATACGCCTGAAGCCCCTAGACACATTCCCTAAAGGTTGAACCACATGAGACCCTTTGTCCTTATGGAGAGCGACGGATGTGGCTTAAGATTAGACTTTTTCAGACTGTTAAACCCTGAATCATACGTCCATGAGACAGTGACATACTGACACACTTTATCTCTGGTTAATTTGGTTCACTTGTCACATTAAGAACCGCACTGATCTGCTGAGTCCAAAGAAGTAAAAGACCAGGCTAATGGCATTGTAGTGACCAAGTCCTCTAATAAGATCACTGAACACTGAGCACTGACATCACAGATCACTGACTGCCCATGAGTAATAACCAAATTGCCGGCTAAGTTAACAGCTGTGGAAAAAAGCAACCATGCCGAAAACGTAATCACGATCTACTACAAAACTCTGTCGAACTGTGAACAATTGATTTATTTCGGGGTCAGTAGACGCTTTGTACGTAGGGCCGCCTATTATCGGGTGAGCGCTTGCTGACATGCTCTCCGTCATCATCAACCAATAAATTTTCATTTGACTTGAGGAATTTTATGGGACAAGCGAGACATTGCCGGGACGAATCAGCCGGTTGTCTCCGAAACGACGACTTCTCAGTCTGTTCCATACATTTCCCATTTGGGTGAAAATGAATAACCTGGTTTCTAATTGAGGTTTTCCGAAAATGGACATCTGAGGAGAAAAATAAAATGGTATGGATGCTCCAGGGTAGTGTTGAGGAGGAACATCGGGCTAACCATCATAAAGAGATGCCATGCGGATTTGAAATGATGCTGAGAACCCAACTTTGGAGTGCATTAGTGATGGAAAAATAGTTGGCTAAGTTTGCTCGACATATACGGATTACTTTTCCACGAACGACTTGTAACTCTCAACTTGAGTAACAACAACAGAATGTCAAACAAGCAGAGCTTCTGCAGAGATATCAGCCATCATGACATTGGCGCTCACCAAGACTGGATGCCATTGGCATAGAGGGCTTAATAATGCCACCATGTTTGAGAGAACCATGTATCCTATCTTTGCTCCATTCAATCGGCTTATTTGTGTGCGCGTTAGCAGGGCATCGGACAACGGTGTGTCAGTATCCGTATTGGAGGAAGTATTCTATAGAGAAAAATGTCGGTAGCTCAGGTAGAGTAGATGGTCGTTGGCTTTTTCGCTGAGTTGGGCAATTTGATTGTAAACGTTTCATCATCAATCGAGGTGACATCATCAGTACGTTATTGGGGAGCGTAGTGGTGCTTAGCGGTGGGTTAGTGGTTGTGCCTACAGTAGTTTGGGAAACGATGATCCCCTGTATTGAGTTGGTACAGGATAGGAAGAGTGGCTTACAGCGTGCAGAAGGTGGAGCATAAGTACCAAAATGACTGACGCTTCATTGTGCTTCACAATGTTTAAAAGTGTTTCAGACTTTTCACTGACTTGAGAACCGCTGCATAAGACCTATTGTATCAACCTTGTACTCAATTTTCACCATCCGACATGTTCGTTTATGGATTAGAAAGTGCGTCTAGTGAATTCGGTAAGCTTAAGGAGTTCAGTCTGCCGGATGCCTTTTGGGCTCTGTGAAATTTGGCTTGTTTTACACAGCTACCTGACGAAAGCATTTTTTTAACCTTTCTATCGTCGCACGTTGCGCACCAGCACTTTTCATGTACGCTGGGAGGAATTCCGTGCATTATGTTTTTTACATACTGCTAACTACTGTTCACAAGTACGAGTAACATGTTAGAAGACCACCCAAGACAAATCTTAGCCATTTGTATGCCAACCGATGAATAGGTTAAATTTACGTCAAAGTCCTGATGGTCAGCTGACATCATCCGTGATTCAAGTTTTGACTGGCAAAGTTCACAAATTATCGTATCGTGTTGCAGAGTCAGAATCAGTGATTTTTCCATTGACTGACCCTGATTTGGTGACCGACGGCTGGCAGGACAAGCAACAATCATAAAATGGTATTTCCATATGGTGCACATATACTGTGTTTGTGTTCAGAATTCTAAAAAACTAAAATTCGAATTAGGAATGCAGTTGGACAACTTTCTACGCATCAACATTATTGTGCATCAAATTATCCAAAGCTTTTGGGAAGTTTAAAAATATTCTGAAAACAGGAACCGAGCATCTGCCACTAATTCCCCTACTTTCGAGACAAGACCAGCCTTTGTTTTAATACATAAAGTATCGTTTATGTTAAACTTTATCATCAAGAAATCCTTGGTGAATAGTTGGCGACAAACACAATCGTTTCTTCTTGTCAAACATCATTCAGTTCCGAGCATTTTTACTCGTCACCTGGATTATTGACCCATGCACCCAAACACAACCCAAGCAAAAACAAAAATCCTATTGGTAAACTGACCAAGACAGCTGTCCTGAGGCCAGAGATGTGTCTCAGGAACGGAAAGCGGATGGAAAGGATGTATTTAATTGACTTATTTTTTACGGGTCGCGCGAATTCGATATAGATAAAAATTTTGTTTTGTCTGAAATCAACTGTAATGCTGAACCGTCTCCTGTATATGAAACAACATAAGTGAGAGGAGGAATTTGAATTAGCGTCATCCAGCTAAACGAACACAGGTTCGGAGCTGTCAGTAGTTGGTTAGCCACGTTCACGCAAATATATGCACCAGTTGCGAAGCAACTGAACTGACCTCTGATCAATGGACGAAACATCTAAAAACAGTTACAGCGTCTATTCATTAGAAATACTACATACAGAACTCACAAAAATATCGTCATCTTGAGGGGAAAACCCTTCGAAGATTCTTGGTTTCCTTTATTTTGACTAATTGTTAAGCACAGTGGCATGCCTGTGGATGTCATCCGGTGAATCCCGAGCAGCGGCGACCTTACTTCAGCAATTCTATACAGAACAGAGGTAGCAAGGCAAGTAGCGTTCGCTGAGTAAACAGCAAAGCTGCAGGAGTGGCAGCCCATTTCATTGATGATTTCTTCTGGAAAATTCATCCGCCGTAAGCAAATGGAGCTGGCAGAAGTTTCGAATCCAAAAAGTGGGGGTCGTCCAAATGTTCGTCTGCTGTCATGTGACACGACTATTCGCTGAGTTTGGCCAGTGATATGCACACTGGTACTGTGTCCCCAACTGGTATCCAAACAACTTCACCCAAGTTACCAAGCCCAGTAAAGCCGTCCGGAAGTACTGGATCAACCATCAGGTAGTGTGCTATTATTTTTTGTTCAGCCTTTTGTCTGTTTCTTGATGCTCAATACGCCAACTTCATGTATGTGGTCAAAGTCAGCTAGTCAAAACGGAACTGGTAAAAAAAGTGCAGTTGCCAACATGGTACATGTAGTCTGATGGCACCAATAAAATAGTCAGCGTTATCAACAGCGTAGCTCAGACCCTTGCGAATCAGAGCAGGGTTGGTACAACACACTAAAGCGTAAGCTGTGCAAAATGTATCGTAAACTTGGGAGCTACAAAATCCATTTAGTGTGGTTTAGGGTAAGCATACTGTGACCCACTGGACTTTGGACAATTTTGAGTATTGAACTAAATCCGTGTTGGGA